ACTTGCTGCGTCCCTCTCCTGTACTGTCTGCTCTTTTAATATTGATGTCTGTCCTCCTGATTTTTTTTGCCTTTCTTACTACCTTGCCTTTTTTTTCTTGGTCCTGGGCGTCAGAGCAGTCACAGTTTGCTGCATCTGGTCTAATGTCCTTCCCAATGTAACTTTTGTTTCTTTCCACTCTTTATTCATTTCACACATTGATAATCTTCAACCTGACCTAAAGAATCTTCCCCATCACCACTGATCACTGCCAAATGGCCTCTTTCATTGGTGTGAGATAGAGGGGGCTCTTGGGCTGGGGCAGAGTGTAATTCATGTCTCCTCCGATTACGTGACAACAAATAATCCTCATCCTTAGGGAGCTGAGGATACAGCTGAATATAATCAGGAAGCGCAGTGGCAGGTTATTTATTTATTTATTTATTTATCTGGTTTATATAGCGCCAAAGGGTTTGCTCAGCGCTGTACAATAGAGGGGGGACAATACATGAAACAGTACAGTAACATCAAACAGCACACGAGGGGTAAGAGGGCCCTACTCTTTCGAGCTTACAATCTAGGAGGGAGGGGGTAATGGTACAGGAGGAAATGGCTGTGGGGGATGGAGTGGTAGGAGGAGGGAAGGGCAGCGGCTGTTAGGTGAGGGTGGGGTAGGCTTCCTGAAGAGGTGGGTTTTCAGGGAGCGCCTGAAGGTGAGGAGGGAAGGTGACAGTCTGGTGGATTGGGGTGGTGAGTTCCAGAGGATGGGGGAGGACCTGGAGAAGTCTTACAGTCGTGCGTGGAGGAGGAGACCAGGGAGCAAGATAGAAGTAGGTCCTGTGAAGAGCAAAGGGTACGGGTAGGGTGGTACCTGGGAATCAGGTCGGTGAGGTAGTTAGGGGCAGTCTTGTGAATGGCCTTATAGGTCAGGGTGAGCAATTTGAATTTAATGTGCTGGGCAATGGGGAGCCAGTGGAGGGAGAGGCAGAGGGGGGTGGCAGAGGTGGAGCGGCTGGTGAGGTGGATGAGTCTGGCAGCTGAGTTCAGGATGGTCTGGAGCGGGGAGAGTTTGCACTGGGGTATATCAAATGGGCAGGTGTGGCAAAAAAGTGGCAAAAAAAGGATTATTACTGCGTTTAGCTACTGGGGCAGAAGGGATTGGTGTCGGGTACTTATATCCTGGGCCATACTTCAACCAATTCAATGCTCCCTCTCATATATTTCATATCCCACTCAGGATCTGGACCAAATAGGGAAAGTCAGTTTTATCCCCTAAACATATCCCCTTTATCATATCCATGTGAAAATCATCATTGTCCCCATCTCTGGGAAAAGGACTGGCACTCCCCATGGTTGAACTCCACCCCACCAAGCTGTCCACTCATGGGACAACAAAGCAATCATGGGACAACATACTCTTTACATGTCTCATTAGCTGGTAGTTGGGATTTTTCTAGAGATGATCCGTCTTCCTTAGTAAATTTCTTTAAGTTTTCTTCCTCTGAATACTTTACACGGTGGCTCCGGAGGGTCTGGGTACTTCCCCTTACCTTGGGAGTTTCCCATCATCACTGCAAAGCAAAGAAGCAATATTATGTGAGCTGGCCTATGTGTTTCTCTCCCGTGATGACTCTTTGTGCCGGGGGTGAAGCTGGACTGAACTCACGTAGAGCTCTGACAAAATTCTCCTCAACTGCACAAGTGCTTCAAGGCTGAAAATCCCCTGGACAGATACACCCCTATTGTGACTCCTTCAGACTGTCACCATGCTTTCACCTATCCCAGGTCAATGGAGAAATCTCCTCGCTGAGTAGATGGGGCGTCTCACAGTCCTACAGAGACTTAGAATACATCTACTGAACAGTTTCTCTAGTTACAAGCGTACATAATCACTGAACACACTACTCTGTATGATTGTATGGAGGACATACACACATTTTCTTATACATCAACCTAGGTTCTGTTTAACCCCGCGAGCTCCCAAAGCTCCAGCGGACAATTGCTCATGCTACCGCAGCACAGAGGCTTGGTGGAGATAGGGGGCAATCAGGGCAAAGGAAGACAAAAAATGCTCACTTACCTCCGATGGCCGATCCTATCCCACTTCTGACACCACTTCTGTCAGGAACATCAATTTATGCCGGCCTCCTCCTCCATACAAACATCCAGTTCAAAGTACTTTGGGAATAATGCAAGTCAGACATCTAGATGTGTGATGCAAAATGTGACTTCTTTATTATTCATCAAGCTTTAATAATAAATGAGAATGCGGCATATTTCAGGCAGTTTCCATAAAGCACCAATCAGAATACAGAATAGAGATTTCAGTAAACTACTCCATGGCACGTCATAACAAAAATACAACAGGATAGTGACTTCTGTGATTTCTATAAACAAGAAATGTGTGCATAGATACCAGCATTCACATCCCACGGGAACATCTTGTATGTACAACAAACCAGTTAGTAGGCACAAAGCAAAAGTGAGTGAACTATTAACCCTTTCATATAGTAGGTGGAGCTAATTACTGATTCTTAGCGACATCTAAAGGACAAATAGGGGTTTTTTTTTATTTAAAATCAATGGTTGGTTTAATCCTGAGGTTTTATTCAATGTATGTTCATTAATAACTACTGTGCTCATAAATGTATGAGTGTGATCTCCAGCATTTGTATGACACCACCCCTAACATAGTAAACTAAAAATACATTGGGGTAGAGAGACAAGCATGTGTCCAGCCGTGACAAATTCTGGCCATATTTTAATAAACACTGATTTCCTATAATCGTCAGCTCCATCTAGTGGCCATAGTGAGGCTCCAAAAATGCCTCAATCAGCAAAAACAGTTCAATACATTATGGCCACTAGATGGAGCCAATGATCATAGGAAATCACTGTATGAAAAGACCAAAATGTGACATGGCTGAATGAATGCTGGTCATATTAGTTCATCTATTCTCTAAGTGGGGTGGTATCTATTGGGCCAATCCCTTTTACAAACCACACATAATATCGCCCTTCAAAGTGAAAACAGAAACAATTTGCACAAAATCAAAGAGTAGAAATATTTTCCGGTGATTCCCCTCTACCCAGACCCCATATGTAGACATACAGTGAAGGAAATGCGTATTTGCTCCCCTGCTGATGTTGAATGTTTGCCCCTCACACAGAAATGATCGGTCTAAAAATCGAATGTTCGGTGTAACACTGAGAGACAGAATACAACAACAAATTCAGCAGAAACGCATGTCTAACAAATGATGACTGATCTGCATGTTCATGAGGGAAATAAGGATTTGATCCCCTTCACAAAACATGACTTAGTACTTAGTGGCAAATCCCTTGTTGGCAATCACAGAGGTAAGACGTTTCCTGGAGTTGGCCCCCAGGTTCACACACATCTCAGGAGGGATTTTGGCCCACTCCTCTTGGCAGATCCTCTCCAAGTCATTAAGGTTTGGTGGCTGACGTTTGGCAACTCAAACTTTCAGCTCCCTCCACAGATTTTCAATCAGATGAAGGTGTGGAGACTGGCTAGGCCACTCCAGGACCTTAATGTGCTTCTTCTTGAGCCGCTCCTTTGTTGCCTTGGCCGTGTGTTTCGGGTCATTGTCATGCTGGAACACCCATCCACCACCCATTTTCAATGCCTGGCTGAGGGAAGATGGTTCTCACCCAAGATTATGACATTGGTACATTGCCCTGTTGTCCCCCTTAGCAGATAAAACACCCCCAAAGCAGAATGTTTCCACCACCACGTTTCACAGTTGGGATGGTGTTCTTGGGGTCATAGGCAGCATTCCTCCTCCTCCAAACACGGCGAGTTGAGTTGATGCCAAAGAGCTGGATTTTGGTCTCCTCTGACCACAACACTTCCCACCAGTCCTCCTCTGCATCATTCAGATGTTCAGTGGCAGACTTCAGACGGGCCTGGACATGTGCTTTCTTGAGCAGAGGGACCTTGCGGGCACTGCAGGATTTCAGTCCTTGTCGGCGTAGTGTGTTACCAATTGTTTTCTTGGTGACTGTGGTCCCAGCTGCCTGGAGATCATTGACAAGATCCTCACGTGTAGTTCTGGGATGATTCCTCACTGTTCTCATGATCATTGACACTCCACGAGGTGAGATCTTGCATGGTGCACCAGACCTAGGGAGACTGACACTTGTTTTGTGTTTTCTTCCATTTGTGAATGATTGCACCAACTGTTGTCACCTTCTCACCAAGCTGCTTGGCCATAGTTTGGTAGCCCAGTCCAGCCTTGTGTAGGTCTACCATCTTGTCCCTGACATCCTTGGACAGCTCTTTGGTCTTTGCCATGGTGGAGAGTTTGGAATCTGATGGTTTGATTGCTCCTGTGGACAGGTGTCTTTTATACAGGTAACACAATGAGATTAGCAGCACTCCCTTTAAGAGACTGCTTCTAATCTCAGCTTGTTACCTGTATGAAAGACACCTGGGAGCCAGAAATCCTGCTGAATGATAGGGGATCAAATCCTTCTTTCCCTCATGAACATGCAGATCAGTCATCATTTGTTAGACGCATTTCTGCTGAATTTGTTGTTGTATTCTGTCTCTCAGTGTTACACCGAACATTCCATTGTTAGACCGATCATTTCTGTGTGAGGGGCGAACATTCAACAACATTCCATCAGCAGGGGAGCAAATACACATTTCCTTCACTGTAGGCTGCACCCCAATGAAAAGTCAGCCCAGTGCTCTAGGTCAGGACTCCATTTTTATTCTTCCTGCTATCAATGGCCAACCCGGTCCCACACTTCATCCATGTCTTTGGGGGCCTCTGATCTCCTTATGAACTGTTTCTTCCATGATGAAGATCAGCCATGGAGTATATCTGAGGTGTATATCAGGGTGTGCTTCTTCCCCACATGAGAGCTGGGATGTCCAGCAACATTCATCTAGAAGACATTTCCCGCACTCAAGGCACTAATACACCTCCAGGGTTGTGTGGGACCCCTGATGTACAGGAAGACAGGACTTCAGTGAGGAACATTTCCCTCACTCAGGACAGGAAAAGTGATTTCTCCCCTGCATGAGATCTCTGATGTTTGAAGACAGGACATCTCTGAAAAACCTTTTCCACACTCAGAACAAGAATACGGCTTCTCCCCCGTGTGAGATCTTTGATGTGTGTGTGAAGATAGGATTTCCGTGAAAAACATTTCCCACACTCAGGACAGGAATATGGCTTTTCTCCTGTGTGAGATCTCTGATGTGTGTGAAGATTGGACTTCTGTGAAAAACATTTCCCACACTCAGGACAAGAATACGGCTTTTCTCCCCGTGTGAGATCTTTGATGTGTGTGAAGATTGGATTTCCATGAAAAACATTTCCACTCACTCAGGACAGGATATAGCTTTCTCCCGTGTGAGATCTCTGATGTGAAGATGAACTTCTGTGAAAAACATTTCCCACACTCAGGACAGGAATATGGCTTCTCCCCCGTGTGAGATCTCTGATGTGTGAAGATGGACTTCTCTGAAAAACATTTTCCACACTCAGGACAGGAATACGGCTTGTCCCCCGAGGACAGGAATATGGTTCTCCCCCGTGTGAGATCTCTGA